TTTTCGGTTGTATAATATTCTTTAAATTGTATTTGTATATTTCTTTAAATGCAATAAATTATTATTATTATTATTATTATACTAAGATACCAATACCAGTTTTAAGATAAAGTCAAATGGCAATGACTTTTATTAATGAGTTTAATCTTTTATATTTCAAATGTATATTTATAGTATTTATACCTGCTATAGTTTAAAATATTTGACTTATTTTTTATGGTTATAACTTATAGATACCAGCTATATCTAAAAAGGGTTACATAATTCTTCACATAGTTAAATTTTCAAAATATTTCGTTTATTTTTAGCTAACCTAACCATATATATCCGTATATCTTAAATCGTGGCTACCACTCTTACCAGTCGACGATACATTAAATAAGTTAAATAAAAAAAAAAAAGGGTGGGTAAGTGGATGTCGCTCTGATGTACAGTAGATTACTAGTAGGTCACTGTATAATGGATGATATTAAATTTGAATCCAATGATATAATATCATTGCAGTATAAGTAAAACGATTCTGAGCGAAGACGGTCAGTCGGTCAGTTAATTCATTTTTCCCAAAAAAATTACATTTGAAAATGCCATTGAGTGTAGGTATATAAAATATAATAATATACTCTAAAAGTTTCAAATACCAACAAATAATATTTTTAAATTATAACAAAATAACTAATATCATTATTCTTGGTTTAAATTTGTAATTTTGTCAAAATTTGAATTTAAAATGTCTGTAAAAAATAAATGTGTCTATATATTTTTTGGTTACAGTATGAACTATTAAAGAGAATCTTTGTTTTAAATTTTCAATTCTTAGTTATAAAAACTGAACATTTTATAATTTTTTAATTTCAATGATTGATAATTTTCGAGATTTTGACAAATTTTGTCGAAATTCGAACTTTAAATGCTTATAAAAAAAATCGTGCCTATGGATTTTTAAAATTTTTCAACTGATGATAGTGTAACAATATATTAGAAACCTTGTATTAAATGTTCAGACTTTTTGGCCCACTAAATAAAATGTTATTGCCAATTATAAAAAAAAAAAACTAAAAAAATTGAAAACTGAAAATGTGTGTAAACAGCTCAAAACAAATCAAAATATTTTCAAAATTGTATCGTGTATAAGAAATGAGAATATAAACATTCAGTGAAATTTTCATGCATCTACAATTATTAGTATTCGAATTACAACCAAATAAGAAAAACGCTACATGAGAAATCGAGTGAATATCCAATGTTGTAAAATTATGAATTTAAAACGCTCATAAAAATTTATTTTTACTTGCTTTTAGATATTTTATTTTTTATAAAAGTAGAAAACTTATGTTAAATCTTGTGTTGAATTTTTAAATCTTAGATTTAAAAAGAAAAATTTTTATGAATTTCTTACTCTAAATAATTTGCAAATTTTCGTCATTTTTACGTATTTTGTCAAAATTTCAACTTTAAATGCTTAGAAAAAAAATCGTGACTACAGATTTTTAATATTTTTCATCTACCTATAAAACAATATATTAGGAGCCTTCTATTAAATTTTCAAGAATTTTAAACCAATAAATACAATTTTATTGATATTTATAGAAAAAAAAACTAAAAAGATTGGAAATTGAAAATGTCTGTTAATAGCTCAAAATAAGTCAACATTTCATGTATTTACCGTAATTTTTTTTAGAGTTACACGAAAAACCAAAATCAATTTTGTCAAAAATCAATGTTGCGTAAAAATTCCCGTTTTTTCGTTAATTTTCCATTTGTTTTGCACTGTACTTTTGAAAACTACTGGAAAATGTTTACTTTTGACCCCCCAAAGTACCAACTAGATTCACTTTCCTATCAGAAAAGGTAAGAAAATCTAAGCACTTTTACTGTCCTAAAACGTGATGACGGACACAAAAAAACACACATCATTGAAAAACCAATACATTCATCGCTCCGCTCAGAATCTAAAAATTAATGATTTAAATTAACGGAGCTTGACAAGGGGCCCCCATGACAAATAAGTTTGAGAAACACTGTATAATCTGTCATGGATATATTTAAAACATCGTTAAACAAATTTATCTATTGGTTAGACATTATATGGGTATGGTTATTGATCATAAGCCTATATAGATTCTTTTACCAAAAAGGTACCTAATGACTTCTACGAAAAATTGTTTCCGAGGGGATTGTAATTCTTTTTCTAAATTCTAATCCCAGTGGTTGTGGATATAAGTATAGGTACATCATTCCGGTTTGTTCCTATATGTATAAATTATACTTGGTGAATATTGCGTGCGTATAAAAATGAACAATGACGGAGTTTTTAAATACTACAATAGTGTAAAAGACCTAAGCGTTTCAGCTAATGCATAATATACCATAGCGGCATTGCGATAAGATTGTTAGATTTTACCTAGCTGCTATTTTACCTATACCTAATTTTGATCCTGGATAGACATTGCGATCTCCTGAACACCTGGCCTTCCAATTTTTATTAAATGAATAAAATGAGATATTTTTTTCGAATCTCTTTATTTATTCTCTAACTGTCGGTGGTATGAGATCAAACCTTGCTTCCTCCGAAATTTGAGCGGTGCTTATTTGAATTCTAAATTCTAAAGTAGTATTAAAACATTTGTGCCTAGTTTTAATTTGCTGCGATGGATGGTAAGTTCTAGCAATTTTTATTTAATTATATTAATGGATATATTATATCAATTTTTTTTAATGAATATTTTATTATTTTAAATAAAACCAAAATAAGTAGATAAACTCAGATAAATTAAGATTTATGTAAGTAGTAAAAAACACGCAGTACACGCAGTAAAAAAAATGTTTTTTTTTTTATTTATTTAAACTTAAAAGTGTTTTAAATATACCTATTTTGACTATATTTATTATTAATAGTGAATATTTTAAGTTTAAAATCAGTTTATAAAATAAAAATTTTTTTAAAATATTTTTGTGAATTCAGTACCTATTTTATAATACAATTTAACATTAAATTATCGTATTGTTTTAACGTTAAGAACTCTATTTATAATGTCGAAATTACAAAGTTAAATCCTTTTAATAGTATAATATGAATTATTTTAATTTATGAATAAAAGTCCGCGAGTTTTCACCAAATTTCCATATTAGCATATTAGCAATTAGTATTAACTATATAGAGATGAAAAATTTTTCGTAAACGGGCATATTTGCAGACAATTAATCGTACAAATGACCGAAGGTATATGACATTTTGACTGATTGTTTAGGTATATTAGTAACTTCTACACTCCACACACTTTTCAAAATATTTTGATTTATGTTGAGCTAAAGTTTCTTTTTAATTAATGTCGATAAAAAATGTACACTCTGTCATAATCTTGAAATTTAATACAACGTCCCTCGTAAGTAGGTAGTTGTTAGTGGAAATTAAAAAAAAAGTAGAACGTAAATCCACAAAAGTTTTTTACGAGCGTTTGAAGTTAGAATTTTGATAAAATCACGACATTTTGAAAATTATTATGAGTTTTAAATTCACGCATATTTAGCTGAACATAATATTTCTATACACGATAAAATTTTTTTTGAACTGTTTAATGGACATTTCCAGTTTCCAATTTTTTGTTTTTTTTTTCTTTAAATATCATTAAAATTTTTTTTGTTTGGTAAAAAATCTTGAAAATTTAATATGATGCTTCTAATAGGTACATTATTACAATAGAAGCTGAAAAATATTAAAAAGATATAGTCACAACTTTTTTTTGTAGACATTTGAAGTTCAAGTCATTTTTATATTATGTTATGAAACCATATCATATTTACTGATTGTATATGATGTACAGATTGAAATTTCAATAAACGCAATTAAAAAAAAGACATTTGAAGTTCAAATTTTGTTGAATTTAGATATTTAGACATTTTGATGTAATTTGAAATTTTTAATTGATCTAGTAGGTAATTAATATGATTAATTCATTATATTACGTGATTAGGTACATTTCATTAAGTATCTCGTATCTCGTATACACAATGACACTTTCAAAATACTTAGATTAATTTTAAGCTATACTTGCTTATTAGTTTATACCAATATTAATATTATGAAATAAATTACTAAAATAGCAATATAAATAAATAATAAAATATACTTGGTAATAAAAACATAGGCTGACAGATTGTTCCCCCCCCCCCCCCCATCTAAAGTGGTACTATTTTCCCTATTTGTTGACTGGAGAGGGGAGATCACACAATGTACCAGTATTAAGACATTTAAATAATTTCAAAATTTTTTTTTGCTTTATTTATCTATAATAAACTATTCATTCTATAATTATTATTTTGAACTATATATATTGGCAAAACTAAATTTTATAATTTCAATTGTGTTCAAGAATTTCGTGAAAGATCACGTTCTAGATCACCACTTTTGCCTCGTGGTGGTATTGATGTCATTGGGGAATTTTTAGAAGATGGAGAACCGTCAAGAAGAGTACTTGGCGTTAGAGGTCGAACAATTTTTGCAGACCCCGATGGATATACTTATGTTCAAAATCGAGTGTCTACAAACCGAAGGTCAGCTGTAAAATAATATAGTACATAATTATAATTTGAATAACTTGATTAATTAAAAATTATTTATTTATATTAATTGGTAAAATTATTTTATCAAGTACAATTGCGATGTTCGCGATATGAACAAGGTTGTAGAGCAACAGGTTCAATGGCGCTAGTACCTGAAAATGCACATATTGTATTGTACCATTACAACAACCACAGACCGGGTCACGATATTGAGTTAGGTCAGTTTTTACAGAATTTACGAGATCGAGCTGTAGTGGAAGGTGTGTCTGCGAGAGCAATTTATGAGGAATCAGCTAGAAGGTAAGAATTCCTGATTTTTTTTACCTGTGAAATAAATGATACAAATTTATTAAATGCAATCAAATAATAATACATTATGCTAGTGATATTCCGAATACATTTTTTACTATAACAACATTCGTAGATATCCAAATGCGGCAATGGAAGTAAATGTTGAACAAGCTCTAAGAGTTGTACGGCAGGCTCGAAGAACTGTTTCACCACCAATACCAGCCGATTTGAGGTCAATGGGAGAGACAATAGCCTCTGTTAGGTGGCAACGTCGTCTGTCATTTGTGGTAGACGACATCAACAATGTATCCTTCTACCAAGGTTTCCTTGAATTTATTCAAGACGGACACTCAGTATTTGGAGGTTTACTATTTGCAAACATTGATTTTATACGGCAACACGTACCATTCCTCCAAAGAGCTCAAGTTTTAGCCGTAGATGGTACTTTTGGGGTAGTACCACATTTTCCAGGAGATATTGATCAATTAGTGACCATACATGCAGTCCTGGATAACATTGTAAGATTTGACAAAATAGAATTTACTATATTATTTTTAAAATAATTCCTGATTGACTGCTGTTGATCAAAATTATAGTATTATTATAAATGCAAAAGTATAGTATAAAATATCATTAGTTATTACTTACACTCTAATCAGTCATCATCATTTGTTTTTTTTATCTATCTCGCAGTCCATTCCTCTTGTTTATGCACTTACAAATCAAAGAACAGAGTCGGTATACATAAGATTGTGGCAGTTTTTAACAACAGATCTGCCTTTTGAACTTTTTGAATGGAATAGAATGCAAATTATTGCAGACTTTGAAATGGCTCAACGAAATGCCATTCGAAGAGTAATACCGGACTGTCGATTAGTTGGATGCTGGTTCCATTTCAATCAGGTTAACACATTTTCATATAAAATTTGCACCACAAAAATTACATATTTTATCATTTAAATTTGTGTATATAGTGTATACTAATAGTATAAAATTTAATAAAATATTTTTGGTAACAGAGCATTGTAAGATATATTCGCACACATGGCATGAATGAAATTGTTCGCAACAACTATAATGTTAGCCAACCATTATCCGAAGGGTAGGCTTATACACCATATAGTTAGATATTCTATAAAACTTGTCTAATATTTATTATGTTTTATTTAAGATCACTGCACTGCACATTTACCTCCGGAAGGGACCCTCAATTGCCAATCTGACTTCCATATCACTGGAGGGTTTTTTGTGATCCAACAATTGGCGAGGCATATGGACATAATGCAATATTTTGACGATATGTTTAATTACATTCAACATTACTGGATCGATACTGTAGGTCCAGTTGGATTTTCAGTGTATGGATTAATATTCGGACAAAGAACTATGTGGAGAGTTTCCATAGTATGCTGAAAACCACCATTGGTCACCCCTCCAGTTTGGACATTCTATGGTAAGTTCAGTGAAATATTTAGTTGAGTTATTATATTATACAACTAAAATATTAAAAAATAATATGAATATTTTTGAATACAGACAGACTTCGTTCAGTAGAATCTCGAGTTAGACGAGAAACCAGACAAATAATAAATGGACATCAGGTTAAATTTATTTATAATTTAATATTTCTTGTTGCTTAATGGTTTTTTTATTTTCAGGTTCGTAGATCAATTATCACAAGTCGGGATAGAAATAATGAGGTCTTACAAAATGCTCTTCGACTAGTAAGGAATGGTCGATATAACACCTCATCCTTCCTTAGAAGAGTCGCACATGTGGCGAGAGGATACTTGGACAATGAAATCGGTCCATTACCTAATGGTAAATATTAAGTTTTAGTCTTCTAATAAATATGTCTCCGTATAAATTATATATTTATAACATTATAATATTAAGCTACTCACATTTGATATAGTACATCAGGAAGATGAAATTCAGCAGCTACCACCTGTACAACTTGAACCGCTGTTACCACCTCCTCTTACGGCAAATAATGGCCGTCAAATAGCACAAAGAAGAGGACGTGGGGGGCGAGGTAACCGCATTAACCCTCAAATTCAAAGACGCCGCGGACGACCTCGTGGTCAAGTTCAACCCGGTAGAGGTCGTGGGCAACTAATAGGCAAGTTTACAACCTAAAGATATATTAGATTATAAAATTGTATACGTTTTAACTATTTATTCTAGATGTACTTGTCGAACCAGCAGTGGAAGAAGACATAGTTGTTGTTAGACCGGACTCCCCTTATTTTGAAGGTTGGTATATTATTAAATTTTTGAAATTACGTATATAAGTTTGAATTTCTTATTCCAGATGTACCTGTTGAACCACCAATAGGTGAAGATGAAGTTATTGTCGTCAGACCGGATGAAGCTAATTTTGAAGGTAAATTCACAAATCATTTTGATTTGACTTTGAATCAAATTTTAACAACTGGTATTAATGTATAATATTTCTACATTTAGATGTTATTTTGGAAGAAGGGTTTCATCAACCAGTTGAACCAATTGTACAACAAAATTCTCCTGAAATTGAAGGTATTTGTTATGTTAATAACACACTAATTAATATTTAAATAAACATTTACAAATTTGAGACACACTTAACTGAGAATTAAATATAATTTTGTTAGTACAAATTGTGGTACCTGACATGATTATGGCAGAGCAAGCAAGGCCTCCACAAGATATACCACTTGTCAATGGTAAGCTATAGTTTATAAATAAATTAGTGATAAACAAATATTTTAAATACCACATAATTTGCATACAGATGATCATCTATTGGACAGGTGTTTTATCTGTCTGAATGATTATGCAGATGTTGGTAGTGCAAACATTCTTATCCCATGTGGGCATGGATGGTGTTGCGATTCATGTGGATTAAGGCTCAACAACTGTCCAATATGTACAGACCAATTTCCGCGGATGCAAAGAATCCAGATTATGCATATTAACTATGGAACACAGAGTAAATACTTTAATTAATTACTTTTTTTTATATTTTGGCAAGTAATTTCTTATTTTCTAGGAACCTGGTTACAAAATAATAACTTGGCTGATCCGACTGGAAGTCAATGCTTGGGATGCATGAGACAAATGCGGGATGTACCAAATAGGGCACGTTACATCTATATTTACTGTGGGCACGGATGGTTTTGTTCTGATTGCATCTTGCCATTACCAGCCATGTGTGAGATATGCAATGACACTGTAGATGGTAGCATAAAAATGTATATAATATAGTACCTATTACAAGTAGAATAAATTGTATTTTTTTTTTTTTTAAGTTCAAACAAAACAAACTTTAATTTATTAGTTTAGATGTATCTTTATATTTAAGCCCACAACATTTTTTTTAATAGAGTATATAGTATATAGTATATTTTATAGATTTTATTTAATTTTTAAGGAAATCAAAGATAAAGATTTTGTTATAAATGTAAGTAATGACAATATTAGTAAAACTAAAATATATTTATGGGATAAAAATGAGATAAATGGTTTTTAATTTATTAAAACAGAAGTTAAAAATTGATATCATTTATGTATAGTATAATGAAATGCATGGTGATTATTACCCAGAAAAAATTCTATTTTTGCTACAATTTTTTTCTCCAGAAATGTGGGCTGCTTAAGTAAGTAAAAAAATCTTAAGTAAAATAGTATGTTTTTGAAATAAAACAATGTAATAGAAATTTGAATTATATTTTTTGTAGTACCTATGTAGTAAGTACCCATTTACTAAGTACAATCAACATTATGTGTAAAATATACAGTTGTTTTTCTCAAAACGCCAACATATAAAATAACAAAATAAAAATATACTTAAATTTTGTAATCAATTCATAATAATGTAAGGAATATTGAACCATTGGATCATCTTATTGACCATAGTCCATACATAAGTGAAAACACATGTTTAAACTTTAAATTCATAATATCTAGTATTGCCTACATGAATTTATTCTAATACATGGATGTCATTGTATAATCAGTAACCTATATTTTATGTACGTTGATTTTCCAAAATCCTAAAGCAATGAGTAATCAGATGTAACTTACCAGATTATCTTGCATCACGATCTTACAGATACAATGGACAGCCATACACTAACACGTCCTAATACTACAGAAGTAAAGACTTCCAAGTTCAAAGTCCTGTTTCCCAACTCCTATGAGTTAATACGAAGAAAATATAAATTGCTCAAATACTAAAAATTGAAATTTTTGATTGTGAATGGTTCAATACTTCATTAGTTATTACTTATTACATAATATTGTCCAAAACAATAAACATGACTAGTTAATTAACTAAATTAATCATGGTCCAAAACTTTAGTACTTTAGTACTTTACACAGTCTGTGGTATAACCATATTATAATCTGTGACCATACCATCCATGACAAAATTGCCAGTAAGAATTTTAATTCGTGATTATAGTATTATCAATAGTTGTGTGGCGGGTTAATCACTACTTATTATCGTAGTAAGGTATCATCGTGGTAATGCATTATCGTAGAAATTGATAGTCGAAGTAATTTATGTTCGAAGCATATGCACGAATGCCTATTAAAATATAAATTCGGAGTAGTATCATATCGTAACTGTAGTTGATCGTGGTAATAGTGATATCCCGGGTGCATCAGTTGTAAACTTGTAACCATCTATAGGTGTATGGTAGCCACCATGAACTTTAGTTCGCTGCACAGAAGTTTGGTATTAATCATGATTAGTAATAATTAACGATCTATATTATTCTATATTCTAATTACATTAATTATATACGAAAAGTTTCTATGTTATCTATTGATGGTAGCCGCTAATCATTGATAAATACTATCACGGAACGTCGGCTTGTAAACACATAACATCTGATTTCGGACATTTTGTGACGTCAGTCGTGTGTTGTATGGTGATTTTCGTTTTCTGACGACGTTAATGCCTTATCGAACACTGAAATCCGAATTAATAATTGTATTTTTGCTATACATTTTTAAACGTCGTACTTACTACTTCTGACGAATAACGATTCAATAATCATAATTTATATTCGATTACTAATATTATTATATGTTATTTAATATTACACTGAGTCCATAAACCTCTTCGACAGACGTCTTCCCTCGGTCGACTATCGTTTCCGATTCGGTGAAATCTGCCGCCGTTGATTCGAACGCCGTACTTCGTTGGTGGTAAGTTCGCATCGTCTAGATTGAACAGATTCACGCAGAATTGTAATTAATGTTGTTATCTAGGTTACCCATTCTTCAGTGTTATTGGCCACGGTTTTCGTATTTCGTGTATCGCCGATATATCACGTGCCGTAGATATAGGTAAATATAATAAAGTTAGTATAATATTAAATAACGACATCGTTAAATCGTATAGGTACCTATCATATTATCATAATATAAAGTACACTACTAGCCACTAGGTATACTATATAGACATATAGTAGAATAGTAACTAGAATACCTACCATTGCAGTGCTATTATAATGCCTATATACAGTTGTAACTTGTAAATTTAAATTCTGAGCATAATCGATTTAAAAACTAAAAATTAGCTTAATTTTAATTTTTTATATGTATTGATCTAAACATTTAACTTTATTTAAGTTACTTTCAATTAAATTTATAATTATTCTATTTTTTTATAGTGTACCTAGTATAATTTTGATGCATAAAAGGAAATTAAAATTGTATTTCTTAATGCCATTGCCTTAGTTATTTTTTTTATAAAAATAACTTATTTTTGATACTTTGTGGACATTTAAGAATTGTAATATGCATACTATAAAAATAAATAGACACCATTCCCAGAAGAGCAAAGAATATTATTGATATAAAATGACAGTGTTTAATATATCACCTTTTGGGTTAATATAGTCATATTATTTTTTTAATTTCTCAAAATGTGTAGCTTCTTTTTAATAATCCTTGCTAAACTCATATATTGTTATATTATTAAAATATTTTACAATCTAAACATAGTAAAACCTTCTTATAAATAGAAATATACCTACAACGAAAATAACAACAGTTCCGCACAACCCATATATCCCATATATTTCAATCTCCCTATAGCAGAAAAATCCGCTAATACAGAGTGATTATGTTATAAGGAGGTTTTACTGTATATAAAGAAAATTAACTGACTTACCTATCTTTTAAACTTGCTAATTCTTAACTTTGTTGTTATTTAGATAATACCTAAGTTTTTTTTTTTTATTATTGATTCTTAAGCCCGACATCTATGACCATTAGCTGTTTGTAAGGTTGTATTGTGGTGGTGGTAGGGTTTGGAACAGTGAATTTTTACACTTGAGTGTTTATGTTTGGCAGAATTTTTAAGTGTGCACCCGTAAGTACCTGTCATGCCCGGGTGGGGGATGGCGGCCTTTCTCTTCGAACACAGTGACTGCCTGTAGAAAAATGCTGACCGTAGTCGGTATCAAACCGGCTTCGCAACTTACGCCTTAATCCACTTGGCCACTCCGTCCCCCAATAATAAGTTTATATCCACGTTAATTCAGCTTTTAAAAAATGTAATACCTACTTAGAATATTCTCTTAGTCAATTGTATTATTTCTGTGGACCAAGGATGTATTGGAAATTTGGGATATAAATATGTATAGGTAGTTTAAGATTTATTTTAATTTATAATGAGTACTAACAAATATTATATAAATATTAGTTCTCATGTTAATTTTTTGTTTCAGATAATTTTATGTCGCATATGAATCATTATGCCTTGGTGTGTTATAATTGGCTGTAGTAACAATTTAAAATCTACGAAACAACATGAAAAAGATGTGTCATATCATATTTTTCCAAAAAATCTGCAACGACGTAATGCCTGGATGAAAAGTATTAAACTACCATTTAAATTTAATGCAGATACATCATATGTCTGTTCTAAACATTTTGTTCCTGATGATTTTGAATGTAACAATTTAAAAGAACAATTACTTAACATTAAAGTGAAGAAACAACTTAAAAGAACTGGTGAATATGAATATTTATACTTATATATTTATTATGTAAAATACTATAAATGCAATAACCTATTTCATTAATATCTAAAATGCTAAAACGGATTCAAATGTGCAAAATTATTTCAGCTATTCCATCTATTAATATCTCTAATACCTTAGAAGAAGAAAGATTCACAAATGGAGCCAATAAACCAGATACAAGTGTAAGTTTAGCAGATTATCAAAATATAATTTATTATTAGTTATTAGTTTATTACAATGCTTTCAATTGAGAAAATATAACCCGGCCGCTACCAAAAATTTTAAATTTTCGGCATTCACTTCAGAAAACGAGAACAAATGCCTTTCTTTGGAACCCATCGGAACACTTTTTGTGAAAAAAAATTCACCCAGAAAACAAAGCATAAGCACGGTGGAGAGAATTTGGTCTCAAGACAGACGGCTAAGCTCTGTGATTTATATGTACTGGAGGGTATCTGGACATTTCCTCCACAGCTGTTTTTGGCGTAATAGGACATTTTCCACCCTATACATTTTAGGATGCGGACATTTTACCTCCATTTGTTTTTGTTTTTCTATTTTTAATTATTTACCTTCGAATATAAAATTATTCTTTTTAACACATATTTTTTAGCTTTTGTTCATATTTATTATTCTTATTTTTGTAAAAACTGTACTTTAACTAAAAATTCTTTAATCTTAATTTCAATAAAAAAAAAAAAATAATATTTAAAACAAAAAAGTAAAAATATAATTTTAAATAAAAGATTGTCTAAATAATATAATATAGTACAATACAGCTGGCCAAAAAATCTGACATAAAAATAAAAAAGATTGTATAAACAAAATATAATGAATTCGTTTGATAAATTTGACGTTTCTATTGCGAAAAGTCTGGAAGGAGTTGTTACACTACCTTTACAATTTTTCTTTTTTTTTCCACACAAACCCATCTAATTTTGTTATTGGCAAGATTTTTTTGTTTTTATACATATAGTCAGTAAAAACAATTTTTAAACCTCCTCTGTCTGTTTTAAGAATTTTAATTTTATTTTTAATAAAATTTTACTGTAATTAGTTTTTTTTACTACAAAAAAAAAAAATTTAAAACAAGAATTTTTATTTTTAAATGTTTATAACCACTAAACCACTACTAAATTGCTTTGAACAGTTTTGATATAAAATATTGACTCAATGCTCATGACGATGTAAGATTGTATAAGAATGTTATGTTAATAGTCTTAGTAATTGACTGGGGTTTGGACACACAGTTTTAGATTTCAATGTTACCCATCTAATTCAATATTAGTGTAGGTACTATACTATATTACTTTTCTTTGAAATTATATTTTTACTTGTTTTAAATAATATTATTTATTATTTCTTTATTAAAATTAAGATTAAAGATTTTTTAGTTAACATACAGTTTTTACAAAAATAAAAAAATAAATATGAAGAAAAGCTAAAAAATATGTGTTAAAAAAATTATTTTATATTCGAAGCTAAATAATTAAAAATAGAAAAAACAAAAAAAACCGGGGGGAAATGTCCGCATCAAAAATGTATCGGGGGAAAAAATGTCCTACTACCCGAAAACAGCTGGGGGGGGGATGTCTGCCATTCGTACTGGAGAGTACAGAAAAGTTATGTTCTCTATAGGGTATAGACTATAACTATCTGCTCATAGTTAATCTTTTAACTTATTATAGTTATTTATAAAATTTTCAAATGTAAAACATCTAATATTATGTAAGTTATTCTCCCCGAATTTTTAAAATGCAATTGTTAAATACTTTTTATTTGATTGTATTTTCTTTTTTACAGTTGAATTGTATTAATCGATCAGATGAGCAAAAATGTTGTGCTGTCCCCATTTGCAACAACAGCATTGTGTATTGTGGATCAGATAAGACAAATAGGAACGGTAAAATTGTGTTCCACAAATTTCCAAATGATCCTGTAATGTTAGAGAAATGGTTGAATTTCTGTAGTATTTATAAATCAATTTCACATGAATATAAAAATGCTCAAATATGTTCAGAACATTTCAACAAAGACAATTATGAAAACAAATACACTGATGAGGTAAAATGTAAATTTAATGTAATCTAAAATGTAACCTCTTAATTAATATCATTATTAAAATAATATTTTTTTGAAGTCATTGCATCCAATAAAAGTATTGAAAAAAGATGCAGTACCAACATTAAACGGTGGAATTAAAATTAAAGATGCTAAAAGTATTGAAGACGAATTATCGAAGAGAGAACGTAAAAAACTTGTGGATAAATTGTTAGCAGATTATGAGGAGCAACAAAAAAATGAAAAGAGTCATCTGAATGGCATGGTAACCAAGTACCCAGGTTTTTTTTCTCCAAAAATTAATCCAAATGCTAAACTTGGTGATAAATTGAAATTATTAAAGTCAATGGATAATCCAATAACCTATCCTACTTCTAAAAAAAGGAAATTATCTACAACACCAAAGTTAAATACAGAACATTTAGAATCACCATTTATTAACAATTTAACGCAAAAAATGAATGAAATGGTTCAAGTAACAGTTGTTAGAGGCGGACTTATGTTACATGCACTACCGCAAACCGCTAATAATGTACTGAGTCATACTTTGGAAGAAACTGTTCCTGATTATGAAGAAGAAGTCATCATTGTAACAGAAGATGAAGCTAGCCTTAGAGATCTGGATTCATATGAAGAAGAAGATAAGAGAAATGACACCGAAGTGATTATAGTCACTGACTCGAAAGAAACTGAAGACACCCTTAAGCATGTAAAAAAAGTACCTAAAAAGTGTTCAACTAATAACATTTATGATGATATAAATAAGTCTCATGTACAAAAATTATTGAAAAACAATGAAAGTATATGTACACCTAAAGTTCCATTAAGTGTAGATAAAGGATGCCAAGTAATAATCCCATGCGGTGGTTGTGAAAATAGAAGTCTTAAGATCAATAAACTTTTAAGAGAGAGAACAAGATTATTGAAAGATCTTAATCAAAATGGTGCATGGAAGGATCCAGATGAAATAAATAACTTAAGGAGGATGAATGGTGTATTGTCCTTATTATTGTTGCATTGTGTTGGCGAAAAAATGGTAAAAAATCTCCGTCTATACGAGTGGATTTAGTGCAAGATTCTATTGAACGAATTAATCGTGGTTGGTCAATGCAAGACTCATCAGAAACATTAAGTCAAGCCTTGAGTAATAATGCTTATGACGAATTTGCAAGAGCGTTTGAAGTGATTAATGAAATATAATGCAAAATGTATCTTATGATAGATTGAGTCTTTAACTTGCATTTAATTTATGTTTAGTGTTGACTAAACAAGTTAATTAGTTGATTAGTTTGCATGACAAATCTATAATACAAAATTATATTTTATTGCAGGGTAATAACAGTGTTAATGTTAATTTATACAATTAATTTCCTATTAAATGGGCTATTTTACATTATTAAACTATGCAGACTAAAGTGAAAAAAAGAATTAAATAATTTTTGTATTTTTCATAAAAATATGTTTTATTATTTATAAATTATAAGTGTTAGTTATTGTATTGCATTTGTATGGAATTGTGTTTTATCTAATATCATACATGTTCTTTGCTATTAAGAATTAATTATTATATGAGTAAAATCTGTTAATAACTATTCACTCTGTTTTTATTTTATTTTTTAAAATATACAAGGCATAATAGAAATAATTGATAAATATGTAATCATCTAATATTGTGTGCAGTACTAGTTTTGTTCTAATCACTGTTCAAAATTACTTTTATTATTTTTTAATTTTAAATTATTATGGTGATTAATTCACTCTACCTATGTTATACCACGTATTTTTCATGTATTTTGTATTAAGAGGCTGTCAGCACACCATTTGTTTTCTCTCTCAGGCCCACTCGCAATATAGTCAAAATGGATTTACGCAGAATCATTTTTTTATGTTTTTAAGTAATCTTAGAGTAAAATCACCCATAACAAAAAAGATAGAGAATAATATTTTAGAGGGAATGGCATTACTTTTATATTTTATTGTTATTTGACATTGTATTCTCATTTCAAAATAAACAAAAAAATTTAAATTTAGTTGCACAAGGGTCAATGAGAGAAAACAAATAGTTGGCTAACATCCTCTTAATATGATATCCAGTATTATTTTATAATACCTATTTGATTAATATACACCCAGGAATAATTATTGATAATTTTTCTCTTTTAATTATATCTACTATATTTATGGAGGAATCTAACCTTTAACCAAATATCAAAAAAAAATATGTGAGTAAGTAGTACAATTAGTAATATTTCAATTGCTCAATTTTAAAAAGTATTAAGTATTACTATTTTATAAATTCACAGAAATCCTCATAAAAATAAAACAATATAAAGCCGTGTATTAGGTATTATTTAATTATAAATATTCTGTTTAAACAATTATCCATTTTATTTATATTAAATAAATGTAATTCAAATAGGCTTGAAAAAAATAATACATTTTGCTTGAAAGTCCGTATAGATTAAGTTATATTATTTAAAGATAATAATAATAATATATTATTGTAAAATGTAATTATGACTTTAACACAACGTCTAAGTGTTGTTTAACATATACCAAAGCATTTTTCAATATGTCCAATTCCAGTTGTATCTGAGTATGGGCCAGCTGTTGAAACGTTGACAGATTGTCCTAAAAATAAAATTGTTCATAATTAATTAAAAATATTTACCATCCAATTCACAAAGGTGGACCTTAACTATTGTTAAAAAGTAAATTTTTCAACCTTTTTAACTTAACTAGTTTATTATTTTTGTTATTAACTTATCCAGTTAAAATTTGTATTGTTGTAACTTAACTTTTTATAGTTAATTATCATTGTTGTGCAGTTAAGTTAATTTTCTTTTCGAGTCATGCATAATAAACTAGACAATACTGATTCGTCGACTCTTTTTCAATTTTGGTCATTTATTTTTTAATTATATATTATAATAATCTAATTTTTTACAGTGTTAAACTTCTTGGAAAATGTTTGTGTATAACAAAATACTACGGCAGTTTATGACTTAAAAATATTGTACCTTGAAAAAAACTTTTTTTTTAATTGAGATAAGTTAATTTTATTTTCTATCTTAACTTTAAACTTATCTAGTTCATTTTTTCTTTTTTGTTAACTTTTAACTTAACTGAAGGCAATTTAATTTAATTAACTTAACTTGCCACAGTTAATTATTTTCTTTTACTTGCCCACCTTTGCAAAATTCGGAAATAATTTCAGGTTTTGTTCATCCAATTCTAAATCGATGAATGTCTTAAGGAGGCTGGAGCGTAATTCATATTCGGTCGAAAATATAGTTCACGACTTCAATCGCTCTACGCCCAATATAATCTCAATGTTTTATGTTCTGATATTAGTTTTGAAAGCAGATTTGAATTCGTTACTAAATTACCTATGCTTTGACAATTTTATTTTTTTTTACTTAGATATGTATTAACAAAAAGAGTAAAAATAGATTATAGTGTAAAAACTTATTGGTCACCTACTCCTCTATGCGAGTCGCGGCAAACAATTGCCTTACTTGTAAGATTGGCCGCGGCGCAACATTCATAATTCAAATTTAAATACATTGATATAGATTGCGGTTCTTAACCTTTTGTAGATCGCGGACTCCTGATGAAAGATTTTTAGAAATCGAGGACCCCCTTACCAATTTTTTTTTACAAAACATCTCATGTTATCATACCCAAAATATTATTATAACTATTTTATATTACAAATTACGTTAGTAGACATAATAAAACACACATTTCTAATTATTTTTATTACAATTCATTTTTTATAAAAATGTAATATAAAACTATAATTGAGTACGATACTACGATCGATCAAGTGCACTTAGTAGTTAGTGACAGTACCTAAATATAAGACTGCCGAGACTACAGTGCAGCACGCATGTACATTTCGTATGAACAAGAAAAACTGATAACTTAATAAATATTAATAGTATAATATTATTTGGTGTAGAATCTAAATATTTTATATGAAAAAAAAATAATAATCCAACAATATACATAGTAATAATGCACTCATGTCACTTATTGACGCATGTTATGTGTTAAGGCTGTCGCGGACCACAGGTTAAGAACCGCTGATATAGAATATGAAAATTGTACGACAGTTAAAGCGTAGTAAATTTAGAGGAGAATTCAAATCTGCTTTCAAAATTGAAATCGGAACATCCTACTGAGCGCAGTAACTGGAAGTATTTTTTGAAAAAAAATGTGTGTGATTTTATAAAGCAATATATTGGTGACATGTGCATTCGCGTAGGCAAAATTACATACGTACATCCCAGTCACTATGATGTACAACGTCCATCGGAATTACACACACTAATATTCATTTACTCCCAACACATTCACAAGACCCATATTAGCTGAAATATAAAATGCCTAATTTTTACTCCTTAGAATTGATTACGCTCCAGCCCGCTCAATATAAGTAATTGATGGGCAACTGAAATAAATGGCATAATATAGTTAAATATACGTTTTAACTAAGACGTCTGTGAATTAGAGTTGAAGTTTAACTTTGAAGAAATGCAAAAAATAACGAATAAATATTTTTCAATTTAATAATGAATGTAAGAAATTTGACGTACCTACTTTTCTTAGCCCTATGTAGTTTGGAAAAACTGAACAACGGGAATTCAATTTATTGAATTTAATATTATATACTTAGCACCAATATTGTTGAAAATAACGTTTTTAAATTTGTATGAAATTTTATATTAGCGTTTTATAGACATGGCATGAATTTTAAAATATTTTAACTATTCGAGCTATTTATAGACATATGAAATATCTAATTTTTTTAGTTGTTGACATAGGTATTATGTTTTTGGGCTGCGTACGACTTTATTTTTCTGACCGATTTCGCGTTACAAACCCAGAACTGCGGTACTTATGTTGCTCTTAGCAACCGATGCATAGCATAATAATTATACATGAGCAAAGCATACTAATTTTTTTATCATATAATTAAATTTTACTTATTTTAATTTTGTTTGCTTTATAGTAGTTACATTAGAACAAATCTTTAAAAATAAAATGTTTTGAAATTTGTTATTATGAGTAGTTATGACTGCAGAATTCTAAACGCCAGAAAACCTATCGCAAATATAAACGGACGCTGAAAATTCGAGCAGTTTATGATTGGTACGCCATTCGGTTTTTAGACAACTGATTATATGAATAAGAAAAGTATACAATATTATATACAATGAATGTATCGTTGCATGCACTACAAGAACTAGTAAAAACAATATCTAAGATTAATTGTATGTCCATGCAACGGAGATTTATCAAGTTTTATTTCCTATAGATGTTTATAATATTATACTCTGTCAAAAAGTTTGAAAATGTAATAAACAATTCCTTAGGTACCTATATAAGTTGCGTCCTTACCAAGAATTTAAAAAACAAATTGAGCGAAGTCAAATACATTTTTTATAAGCGTTTTGAAGTTCAAATGTTTACGATACGATCAAAGAAAATCTAGTGTAATAATTTTAAAAAAATTTTAAAAATATTCACCAAAAAAAATTGAAACATAGGTAAGTTAAAATATAGTTTTGATGTTTTCCATATAATGCACGATATGAAATGTTCAAAATATAAAGACTAATTTTAAATGTTTTGACTTTTAGGTAAAAATAAATAACGATTTCGAAATCGTTTAACGGCCTGTATAGAGTTGTCAATCTACCCCCGCACGCAATCAATAATACGCCACTGACAGCGTTATATCACAAACCAGCTTATGAAATTAAAAGTTATCGAATATCTTTATACTTAAAAAGCATAATGGGTACCTACATGGCTACATAATATTATGACAAATCAGAACCATGTACGCGTTCAAAATCACTTAACGTGAAGTTTAGTGCCCGTATCCATATTATGTGACCTACCTACTCAGCTGCCTACCACATAATTGCATCAGTTATGATGGATAATACATTTTTTTCTCTACAATATCAATTTATCAGACTCAGACGTACAGGTTATGTACCAACAGTGATGGATCTAAGATTTTTTTGGTGGGTACCTTCGTACCTATACTATATGCGTTGATAATAAAGCTCCTTAGGTGCCTACTTATCGTGAACAATTTCAGGGTAAAAACAAATTTACCTAGCCTATTTATTGAAAGTAGTCTTCAATTAATACGTTTAATTTTACAACTTCTAGTGCCGTGCTAACTTTCATTGGCACCCAAAGGCAATACTATATATAGGCACCACTATTAAAAATACATATTTAAACATTTGCCACCTAAACGTTACAACTTTTGCTAACCTAGGGCACTTGGCACGGCTCTATAAACTTGTACGTGTTACCTGTTACCTAAGTAATTTATAACAACGGAAAAAGTTCAATATGCGGAATGGTGGGGACTCCAGCTCTCAAGCACCTCCCCCCTAAGTCCACCAAAGTGTACCTATATACTATATAGTATACACTATACAGTGCTTGGAAAAAATGCGTTCAAAGGAACTCATTACAATTATTTTGTTCAATGTTCAGGAACTTAACGGGAACGTAGTTACTTTTTCGTATGACATATTGGAATTTTGTTCATTTTTTAGAGGTACATGAACTTGAGGTACATTTTTTACTTTTTTAGTTCATTTAATCAGGACGTGATACCCTCATGTGTTAACTTCGTCTTACAAGGGCGTAACATGGCAAATTGTACGCTCAGTAGAACACATGTAGCTCCGTTAGTTTAAAAATTAGAGTGAATTGACCTCTTAGAAAATCTAATAGTAGGATTATAATCTAGGCAACCTCATATGCTTTTTCTTATATTTTAATTTTAAAATTGTAAATTGTTTGAACATCTTAAAATACTCATAACTCGCTTTAAAATTAAAATAAAAGAAAAAGCATATGATGTTGCCTAGATTATAATCCTACTATGAGATTTTATAACAGGTCAATTCACTCTAATTTTTAAACTAACGGAGCTACACGTGTTATGCTGAGCGTACAATTTGCTATATTATAATTAAATTTACAAACGACAATATACTATAATATTCACAATGTTTACAAAATGTCAAGTCAGTCGCAGTGGTCTTATCGATTTTAATACTTGTATCAAATAAACAAATTAAATATTTTAAGAACAAAATAAATACATAATTAAAAAGGTGGACAAGTGGATACCGTCATTGAAATGGATGTGTATTCATTGCATACGAATAACAATTCTGAGGGGAGACGTTGTGTCATCCTATAGCATATACCTACTTGTTTAAATAATTAAATAAAATTTTGTGGGGAATCTTCTATTTTAATTTGAAATTTTTTAATGTAAGCTATGAAAAGAAGACTTTTATGAATTCAGAATTTCTTACTGAAAAATAATTTGAAAGTTGTAGTGATTTTGATGAATTTTGTCAAAGTTTGAAATTTAAATGCATATAAAACATAGCTGTGTTTGTATATCTTTAAAATTTTTAAACTTCTATTAAAACAACTTATAAGGAACTTTCCATTACATTTTCAAGGTTTCTCGCCAGTAAAAAGTTGTTTATAAACAAAAATTTAAAACAAATTAATGAAAAATGCTAATATAAATATTTGGTGAAAATTTCAAGTTTCTACAGTTATTAGTTATTGAGTAACACCAAAAAAATAAAACTGATTTTTTCAAAAATTGAACCAACTATGTACAGTGTACACTTATTTATCAGAAAAGATGCCGATGTCAAAAATCAGAGCATTTTTACTACCCAAAATGTCAAAGACGGATAGAAAAAAAAATTGAATCAAAAAAACACACTTCATGCATTGTAAAAGCAATAGGTACATTTATCGCTACGCTCAGAATCGAAAAATATAACATTACTACAAATTATATTAAAATAATTTTAAAATCATTGAGGAACTGAAAATTCAACTTATTTCAGGAACGAGGAAAGAAATATTAGGCAGTTCGTTTCTTTAAGCCTGCATGGACGAGAAACGTTTTAGTTCCTTTTTAATAAGATGAACGTAAACGTGAACTAATTGCTTTTCCGTATGGGAACTTTCCAAGCACTGATAGTATATAATATATTAAAATGATTAAATGTTAAATATATATTCAGTGCAGAAGCGTGATTGTCGATATTCGATAGGTACCTACTTATATTTAACCGGCAATATATACCACTCACATCCCACAATCACTTCAATTATTACCAACGCAATACGACCTACGTCTCGTAATGATTTTTATTGATTGTATTGGATTGCCCAAGCCCGGCTACAACATAGGTACCTATTAAAAGTGGGTATATACCTATACGGTGGTATAGTAATTGGTTCCAAAACCGCACGAGCTATCAACATTTTAGATATGGTTTTCGTCAAAAGTACATTCGCGCGGCATACTATACGCCCCATTAACACGTAATACTATCAGTAGCATAGTCGGTAGGTATACCTATATATAATTACTCGGGCTAGCGAACTTATTGAGCGTTTAAAATTAAATACAGCGGTGGTTTTTGAACAATTAAACCTTCGATGGCGTTTTTCATAGGTAGGTATAACGACGGCAGCGTACCTATATTTATCATAATTCATATATTTAGCGGACGTAATAGATTTGAACGGTGCTCACGATTGTGCAATTTAACCTTTTTTGCACCTGAAATGCGATTGCGTACTAATTGAAAAAAAAGTAAATTCACAATTTTTCTTTCCAATAATTTATAGGTATATTAAATAAACTTTAAATACTATGGAATATCAATTTTATAGAAGCTTGTTACTTATCACTGATCAGTAGCCATTTAATATTAGGTGTAAAAATGTATTATATAAAATTAATACCTATACGTATGAGGCGTGTGGGTAAAAAAAGGTTATTTAAGAGAGAAAAAAATTGAAAATTATATAATTACTTTACATCCTAGTATAAGTGTACCTATAATATGGCCATATAATAATCATCAACAATTATCCATTGACTGTAATGGACAATGGTAATAGGTACATACCAAACGTTTTGCACACATTATATATAGGTATGGAAAAAATAAATTATATTATTATTTAACAACCACATATATATTTATTGTCTACTTATATACCTATACTACTTATTTACTACTATTTATATCTTGAAGTACCGTAAGAGCGGGATACTTTACCCTAGGAGTTAAACATTGCTCCAAAAAAAATTTTTATTGATATCAATCGTAGCCCATTACAATTTTGAGATAAGAGATTGTAGTTTTTTTTATATTATTCTTATTAACATTACTAATTTTTTCAAACATTTCGAACATCAATAGGTATATTAGATTGCCTCCAAGATGTATGTCATGAAAAAAATTGTTTTCAAAAACACATAACGGAAGAGGTATCCAAAATCTAGGGAATTGAAATTTAATTTAAAATGTATTGAAAAAAGACTTTTCATCAACTAAAAAAAAAAAAATTATATTATTCAATTATATTATGTATAGGTTCAAATAAGTTAAAACACTAAACTTTGCACCAATAGTTATTATATGCATTAAAGTAAGGTAATTTTAATCATTGTGCAATGTAACCTGCAATGTATTTTAACTTTGCTCCAAACTTTTGGGAATAAGTAAGTAAGTCACTAGTACGACATTCGGATTTTTTTGTATTGTTCTTACCTCTCAACATCTATACATATAAAACAACGCGAACAGGTAATTTTTATCTTTGTTATTGAAACTACAGTATAGGTTCAAACTAAAAAAGAAATATATTTGGAGCAAAGTATTACGCTCTTACGGTATAGTATTACAAGAATAATACAAATTTTCGATAAAATTATCCTGTATTTCCGAAGAATTATGAGCGCAACCGATTTTTTTCAGTAAAAATGTAAAATTACATAATCGTGTTAAACTCAGATTTGAATTTCGAAGAATTATAATTTTTTTTAATATTATATAGTAGCTCACAGTAGAGGCTAATTATATGTATTTTTCTTATATTGCCCCGTAAAATGTATTTGACTGAAAATAATAATTTTTTAACTGAAAGCTGATCGAGATCGCGTGCTGGGGATGCTGTCTAGCTGTACCCACCCAAAAGTGGCTAAATACATCTATGTATAGCCACCTAAAACTATAATACATATATATAAATACGATTTTCGTACCGTTTAAACACTGACCATAATATGTTATTGATATTAATGCAAATTAATAAGACTAACCGCTTTTTCCGATGGTGCTGGATACTGCTTTATCAACAAATTTATCCTGACTTGCAGGAATTCCCAGCACTTGGTCTCGAGGGCAGGATCGAGAGTACCGTCTAGTAGTGTTAAGTTCAGGCAATGTTTCTCTTCCATTTGTATCCAATCGTCCAAAGTTTCTGGTGAAAAAAAAAAAGTTTAACAATGTAGTTGTTCTACCAATAAAGGTAATTATTATTTTTACATTCGAGTATTAAGTTTTTTTTCTGTACCTATATGTCTATTACATTAAATATAAATTTTCTTACAGATTATCTATACTGGCTGTTGTAAATACCGAATAATTACATAATATATTTATTTGACACAGAGATACATTGGTGACGGGAGTCTTGGGAAATTCAGTAGGTATATCAATAAATATCTAATTTATAGTATACCCACAAAAATGGAAAATAAACTATTATTTGTAGAACTATTTGAAAATAGAAATGTTAACATCGTCAAAAAATGAAATAAAATTCGTTCACTGAAGTTAAGTGCCGCGATATCCACCTTCATGATACAATAAATATGCACATGTATAATACCTCTACTCGTATAATATAGTTTTGCAAATATAAAATATTGTTAAAAAAAATACACATCGCATTCTTCCGTTTCGCTAGCAGAATCTAAAACTATTTTATTATATATACAATAATTATACCGAAAATCATGAGCAGTCATTAGTGGTATTTAACACTTAAACATCATCATATAATTAACAATAATGGTAATTGTAAAGAATAGGCAATAATAGTATATGGGTATGGCAGGTCACCACCAGCCTGTATATCACGATTATAATGCACTATTCGAGAGTAGCTAAACATTTTTTTAAGTAGGTGGGTCTAACACCATAATTTTTTCTCCATCACATGAAATATAGTTAGGCGCCACTGGGCCCAGCCCTATAAGCCCGGTGAAGTGTATATATTGGTACGTACTTTGGTCCATGTTAAAGATGCGGACGAACGCGAGGAGCTTTCCGTCGACGGGAAACGGTCCGGGCGTGAGGTAGAACTCTGCGAGGGCGGGCAGCGAGAGCGTCTGGAGCAAGCGGTACCGGAGCGAGTAGAGCGGGTCGGACCGGGAGACGCCAAGCCGTATCTTGACGGCGTCATGTTCGTTGTCCGGGTACACGAACCCGTTGTGCACCAAGAAGTCGGCGTTGGTCCGCACCCCGTAGAATATGTACACTTGTTCGTCAGCAGCGTAGTCGCCGTCCGCGTAGCACACGCACACATTGCTCGACTTGACGAAATCGGTCGACAGCTGTACCGGGTAAACGCCACATGCGGTAAATACGTAATATTACTATATCATTGCCAAGGGATTTACAATTTTTATTAGCGCCCTGTTTTTACTGCAAGTGATTTCGTTCGAACACACTGATTTTTAGAATTAGTGACTTCATAATATTATTATGGCTATACTGTACACAGAAGATGGGCGTTTTGCCTATAAATACCATACTTTCGAGTTTGGCATCTATACACGTGAATGTGGCGACACAAACTTTTTGTTTTCTTCAAATGAGTAGGCACTTACTAGTTACTATACATACGCCACTTTTTGTATAAAAAAAAAGCTTATTGAAATCGACATTTGAAATAGTATAGGTAGTTTTTTGTATACTTATTCTACTTTATGGAGATAGGTTATACCTACCAAGTATATTAGTGATAACTGACTAGTGTCTGGTAACAATTTGAATATAATATTATACTTAAATTTACATATTATTTTACCGAACAAAATTAACTTGATTAGATAATATTATTATACATAATAAGTATTATTATTTCACCGATTAACATCGATCTCATTTATTTGAAAGTTTATATTAAATTCATTATTGTCGTTAGTACTTACATTAAGTAGAATAACTCAATACCAGGATACATAAACATTCAAAAAACAATTTGTATCACCGTAAAACTGTAAACATATTTGAAAATATGGTCTTTAAGGAACCTTCTTAAAAATTCTGAAAATCAAAAGTTAAATAAATGACCGGATTATCGCATGCTTAAAAAAATAAGCAATCACCCTGTATTTATGTATTACGTGTAAGTACCACGTACCAGATAAATTGTATAACCTATCGATATACGGGTAAATACGAAAAAAATAAAGTCCTACCGCAATAGGTATGCATGTGTTATAAACTTATAAAATAGTAAATAGTAAATAGTAAATACTAATAATTATGACGGGCCGGAAGAGTTGTTATATTGTTGCACTAAAAAAAAAACCTCAAACTACATCTACATGTGGTCACGGCTATTGCACCACACGCCACCACTGCGTAAAATACACGAAATTGCACAGAGAAATCTCAAAATGTACCTACAATAATTTAAAACCATGTACCTATATAAAGTCGGCATTCTCTCGGGTACTCCACCCTATGTCTCATAATAATAAATATATCGAATACGTACGCATGCACGATACACAATACACATACCTACTAAAATATGTAGTATGTGACTATACCTATAAATGCTATTATAACTATTTTCAGACTTTGTCCAACTTTTTTAAAGACGTGGGTACGTTAATTCTTGCTACTTCTGTCCCTCGTTTTTGGCTTCCAAATTCCCACCGAAAATAGCAGCCAAGACTTAAACTCAATGATCAAGTTACGTCTGTAACGAGTTCAAAATGGCTTAATCTATAATGATGATTGTAAGTAAATTGACCTCGTCGCGGTTATGATACCCAAGAGTAAAGCCGTAACGTATACACTGCTTGCTCGCCGTGAGATAACCATATACCACGTCGCAGAAAAAATAAATTGCATCACAATAACATAATTTGTATGCGTATAATATATACGAATAAAAAAATAAAAATCAGTTTGACTTCGAATTGAAGTTTGCGGTTCGAAAAATAAACCATTGTCTTATACTTATCATTATAGATCATTCACCCGTATTTATATTATATTATGAATAAGAATAAGCGTGGTTATACAACATATATTATTAATATACCTAAGACATTAGTACAAAAACAAACACACGTCCTAGGTCAAATTCAAAATTTAAAAAACATGATGTGTTTGGATCCCATATTTCAAAATAATTTTGGAGGCTAACCCCAAACCAAAAAGTATTGTATTTTTGGGGCACGACGTAGTAAAGTAATTAAGGTAGTTTAATCTTTAATATCATTTTATTTTAACCAAATTTAAGTACCACTGTACATTGATATCCACAATATAAAATAAATATACATAGTTCGTCAAAAATAGTAACAATATTGTGACATTTTCATACTAATATAAGTGACATATTAAATAAATTATACAAATATTCTAAAGTTATTGTCCCCACTTGACCTCCCCCCCCCCAAAAAAAAAAAAAAAATATGTGACCTGGTAATGAATGGCCTGCAAACATTTTGGCACCAAAAAAAAAAAGTTGTTATGACGCCCCTGAATACACTTTAACCTAAATTATTCTGATAGGTACCTATGTATTATTATTATGAAAATGATACGGTTTTAGAAATAAATGTATCCAAATATACCTAGTGGCAAAATATTATAGTCAATAAAAATTCGATGTTGCTATCAAAAATTTGGCCTATGGAAAAATCAAGCTGTATACACCCTCCAATTTTTATAATAATCTATTGAAATAACTTTTATTGAAAACGGTAAAGTCATTTTTTGAGGCTATTAACTCCGGGTAAGCCAGCATTCAATTTTAGTAGCACCTATAAACCGAATTAAAATTTAAAATTTAAAACCGTATTAAAATAAGTAGAGTTCTTTTCGAGATATGCTCGTACATACAAAAAAGGGCAGTGTTTCTCTACTATATTATGCATGTTATATACATATAAACCTTCCTCTTGAATCACTCTATCAATTAAAAGAACAGCATCAAAATCCGTTGCATAATTTTAAAGACCTAAGCATACAGATAGACAGCGGGACTTTGTTAAGATTAAGATTTATTATTATTTTTTTTTTAATTTGAATATTTTCTATCTGCTTGTGTCCAAAGCAACCATTAATAAACGAAAATTTCTATCGTAAATCTCAAAATTCCTGTTTGAGCACCTTCCGGGGGTGTTTCTCTTCTATATTATGCATGTTATATACATATAAACTTTCCGCTTGAATCACTCTATATCAATTAAAAAAAACAGCAACAAAATCCGTTGCGCAGTTTTAAAGATCTAAGCATGCCGACAGAAAAAGGGACTTTATTTTATAATTTTATAATATGTTAAGATAATCAACTATCAGCAAATCTATAACCAAACATAGTTATAATTGTATTTTTTTTTATACGAATAAATAAGTTCTAATAATATACTTACTCTTCCGCTGCGGTGATTGAACATGTCCCAAAGTGGTATGAGTGCACTGACATTTTCGGACGGGTTATCTGAGCTGGGAACTGTATTTTGACGTGACATTAACGTTGATACTGCCCACCTAGAACAATATATGCATGGAATACAATTACAGACTACTAATTTTTAATCTTTATATTGACAGAATAAAAAATTAACTGTAAAATAATATAATATATACGAATATACACACACTGACGTTCATTTATACAATGTGAGACGTGTGTTATTTCAATTTAAATTGACATATTTTCTTCTGAAAGAGTCATTATAAAAATAAAACAATTTATTCAACAAGTAAGTGACGATTATTACGATTATGATGGCTTGTCTGCAGATGTAACATGTATAAATAAAATCGTTCAATCGACAATCAAAATATAAATCCTATGATCGGTGGGTATTTTTCGTTATCTGCTACCCAATTTTCCGTAGCTTTGCAAGTCTCGAGAATGTTTTTTTTTAGATGTTAATGCATCTAAATCGAAATTCGAACTTAATGTGCTAAGGATAACATTATGGTAGTTTTACATAAAGTATATAAATTATAAAACATATTATGGCATACAGTTTAGTTTAACACTAGTTATACTCGAACAATTTTTACAAATGATAAAATGTTGGGTAATTAATATTAATTACTAAACGTAGTTTTCATTTTTCAAATCATCATAGCCCCCATATTATTATCTACTAAAATAAAAATCTATTATCACGGGCTATTAATATATTATCCTTAGTACCTATTTATTTTTATTTGAAGACTAAATTAATAATAAGACTTAAATAAAATATTTGAAGACTTGTTTCCTCCAAAATAATATAATTTTACATACAAAAAAGTAAATACCTAACTAAATGAGCTAATATTACGGCCAACTTGAGGGGGAAGCTACCACCCCTGGATCCTTACTTGAGTCATATTACACATAATACATAAAACATTTAAAACCATAATGCCATAAGTGTTGGGTCAAATGATAATCGTTGTATACTTGTACGACAAAGCAATATTTTTATTTACGATGAACATTTTAATTAAAACGCACTTTGTTCGAGCATTAAGACATACACGTTTACAATGAACCCGTATACAGTAGGTAATGAATCTACTCCAAAATAACCATCTACGTCTTTTGTGTAATATCTACTGGCTACCGTATATTATAATACCTTAGGAGTTAGGGATAACTGTAAATTCGCCTAAATAATTTAAATTAAAATATTTCAAAGATTCATTATCAGATGTATACAGCATTATAAACATACCTATTGTTCTATAAAGGTAATATAAATATTATACACTGAATGATTATTTTAACAGTAAACTACTATTATCTCGAGAAGTATTTAAGTTTTGAAAATGTTTGTAATTTGTATATAAAAATCAAATTTTAAACGACTAGGTAGAAGGTAGTTAATTTGGTGTAATAATTTAAACTGTTTTCTAAAAATTTTTGGGGTACATCTATATGCCACATTAATCCACTCAACCTAAAATTTAAACATATGTAAGTACTTAATATAATAAATTACCTAACTAATCGTTAGAAATTCTATTTTCATACAATGTTTAGAAAAATATTCTGCTTTGGAATATGAAGTTAAAAATATATGCTTTGATTTTAAAAAATTAACTTTAAAGATGAGAAATATAAAAATAAAACTTTTTCTCAATATCGTTTTGTAATGATTTCAAATAATGTTAAATAAATATTTTTAAATACTCAAACAAATGTCGAGATAATGAGTTATATTGACTGTCTCAGACTGGCAATAGAAGGTAATAAAAATGTGCATTATTATAGGAAATATCGTATAGTAAACACTAAACAATTAACCTGGTACCAATACATTTAAAAAATACCAAAACGTCGTGCTATACATTATTGAACAAATTTGCAGAATAAACCTGGTTCACTATTAAAAAATAAATAATTGTATACATAACTAATATTTTGATGTAAAAACATATTGTACATACAACATATAGTAAGGTACCTTATCCTAATGTATTGTATCTAAAGTTATATCTATCTTTAAATAATCATAAATTATTTAATGAAATGAAAAAAAAGACATTTTAAAATGTTAATTAGAATTGTCCAATCATTGTGAATATTGTTTAACGTTTCACAAAAACTAAAACGATCATTGCTCATTTTACAATTTTACATACATCTATATGAACACGAATAATTTAAAAACCTAGGTATTATTTTAAAAAAATTGCTCTCTAATAATATAGTCACATTATACTCTATATATCAACCCTAGTTGCACCATTCAACTATTTATACAAAATTTAGTTGATAAATGCAAATATAATATATAAAACTTCAATGCAGACGTTTTAATATTATATATAACATTAAAAGTGTGTTTCACGAATGAATTGACGATAAATGGCTCAAAGGGTCGAAAAGTTCGTACAAGTATAGAGACGTAGAGTGGTCATAACTATAATAAATAACGGCGTTCGGTGGCACGCGATCGAATATAAATATTGTTGTAGTCGGAAGGAGAGTGTGAGGTGGACTGGAAGTGGTATGGACGTTTATATATACATCCTGTCATAGAAATACTGAAATACAATTCTTCAGTGAAAGGTTATTTACTCGTGTCTCGTGTTCGGTGTTTGTTCGTGGCCGGAAAATATCTCGGGCATGTGCCAGTGCGCGTTTTTCGTTTAATGGTTCACGGTGTTAGTAGCAGTATTGCTACCTGTGAGCACGATACAGCATAGGTGTGATAGTTTTATAATTAAAGGACAATTTATTATTGCCGGCATAATAATATTATATTTAGGTGTGTACACGAACACCACCGCAGTGGACGACATCATCGTTATGGATACACCGCCGGGACGCTAGTCGGGAAATTACTGATGAAAGAAAAACTGCGGGTGCAATAGTTGCAGGTTCGTCGACTAAAACGTTATAATCCACAATTATATATTATTATTTTATTTTATCTATCTATGGACTTTGGTTGTCTCATAACTCGTGTGATATTAATTTTTGTAGTAGGTAAGCATATATAATAACGGTTGGTTTAATTGCTTTCAAACGAAATAATATAACAATACGTAGGTAATAAATTAGCTGCAGTACCTTATAAATAAAAAGCAGACATTAAAAATGTGAATAGTTTTTTTTATGAAATAAATTCTTTTAAAATATTATACTACCATAAAAAATATATGAAATCATGAGTACCTAAACGCACATATAAAATATGTACTCAATCTAAAATGTAGTCAAATCTCAAAAAAAAAGATTGAATAAATAGGCATTAAATATGATTTTTTTTTTTAATTACAAAAAAAATATATTTATATATACCTGTACCTATTTTTAAATAAATTATTAAAATGCCCTATAACATATTATTTTTTTACCATATAAATGACGTGGTGATAAAAAAAATTAAGTAAATAAGTCCTTTAATAATCATCGTATTCGTATCATTAAAACTACAAATGTCTTACCTAACAGATATAATATACATGCATTATTATACTATCTAGCAGAAAAAGAAAAAAATTCTAATAGCTATAGTTGAGCTCTAAGCAAATAGTGCAAGACTGTTTAAGTTAAACTAGAGTAATATTGTTCTCGTATTATTATCTCACAGTTTGATGAGTTAAAAGTTATCATTATACATTTATGCATCGATATTATATTATATATTTTTTTGCATTATCACTTAAGTTTACTTTAAAGCATTTTCAAAACACAAAATAATCTGTCGTTATCCAATATTATCATTCATCGTTTAAATGGATTTATTTTAAATTGCATAATTTTCAAACAATATATAATTGTTATATTTTTCGTTTTGTGGTTGTATTTTTGTTTTTAACATAATTTCTAAAAAAAAATATATAAACAAATTTAAGTTGAAAAATAATCAAAAAAAAAACGAAAAGATAGTTTTTTTTTAATTGAATGAAATTGTTCATCTTTAAACTTGATTCTGGAACGAATAGTCGGAAAAATGAGGAAGTATGTATTTTACGACGGACGCAGTTGGCGGAACAAACTATTAACAGCGCTAAGAGAGTTCCGCGTTATGTGATTAATCAAAACATAATGAACGAACACCTTATTTTATAGATGATTTTGTTAGAATTCAAATGTTATTAACCAATTAAATGTATTTTAAGTGCGAAATGTTGAACGATTTACTTTCTAAGAATTTAATTTAATGTCATCGCACGGATTCGAATAAATATTGCGTTTTTACTATCAATTAAATAGCAAAATAGGTACTATAAAATAATATAATATGGATACTGTACATTATGTTATATACTTGATATATATACCTATTACATTATGAATTATCATGTTTATAATGCAATACTTTTCAAATTTTACTACATATTATATCATATTTTAACTTAATTTGTAAAGTTGAAACTACTGTAAGTAACTATAGCTGTATTAACCGACTTTGGCCGGATTAAAATTAATCTATCTTTCTTTCGTTTTCCGTTTTGCTTCAGTTGTAATATATAATACAAACACAATTACAATGATTCATTTTATGATTTTCAGCTTCTTAATGCAGGACATATTGTTGATGTAAACACAAAAAACTGGAGACAGATTCAACTACTAGGTACTTAAAAACCGACTCATAAATCCAATACCGTTTTAAGATTGGTATTCATCTTTATAAGCTTACATCAAAAATATGTCCAGAATTAAGAAAGCAAATCAGAAAAGTAATCATTGTAATATTGTGTTCAAATTATTTGATTTTAAGATTAGTTTTTTTTATATATATTTGTGAATTAATAATGTTGAATATTTGTATATGGCATATTTCCATCTACTAATAATTATAATAATAATAGAACCTGTAACAATTGTTAACCATTTAAATATACAAAAAAACCCTTCGATTTTCGTGATCACCCTAAACTCTATAGCAAGCAATAGTGGTTGTAAAAATAATCTATAAACACGCCTTCCGAGTCTGAAGGAATCTATTGATACATCGATATACTATATATATAAATATACCTTCATTGAAAATTGTCCATTCGTTTTCGA